TTTTTTTTTTTTTTTCATTTGGGCTTCTACTTTCAGCACTTCGTTTTGATCGTATTCACAACTTTGTTATTGGATTCACTATTGTTTTGCTTTATTCAATATGTTGTCATTGTTTTCAATATCTTGTTATGACATTCACCAATACTTTTTTATCATATTCAATCTTTTTTTACATTTATTCACTATTTTTTTTGCATTTTTCATTAGGGTTTTTAGTTTATGGAAAAGTTTTTGATATTATCTATTCAATGGTGATTGATCTTATTGATGCACTTTTTATTGATCCAATTTATGCGAGATTTCTTGAGTGTATTCACGCTTTTCTTCTCAGATTAAATCTTTTCGTATCGTCGTCAATGATTTTTTACTCTATTCAATACATTTTTATCATAATCAAGAATTTTTCACGGTATTCGTATTCACGATTTCTTTTATTTTATTCAATAGGATTTTTACTTTATTCGAGTTCCAGATTTTTTTCTCTTATTGAAAATTTTTTTTTTCCAAAAGGAGGAACAAAAATACCATGATGCAAAATTGGATAGATAACTCCTTTCAGGCGGAATTCGAACAAGAGTCTTATTTTGGCAGTCTTGGTGAAAATAGTACGAATCCCAGTTCTGGCGGGGATCGATACCCTGAAGCTCTGATCATTAGGGATATCACCGGAAAAACATCTGCCATCTATTTTGATATTACCGATGATATTTTGGAGAATGATCCCCATCAAACTATTCTTCTTAGTCCAATTGAAAATGATATTTGGACCGAAAAAGATGTAATTATTGACACTTATAGGTATATTAATGAGTTGATTTTTTGTGATGAAAAATCCCAGCAAAAACAAAAAGACCGCACGGAATTTATTAAAAAAGAACAACTTCAGCTGATAAGCAACCGAAATCCAGATCATTATAGGAATTTGTGGAATCAATGTGAAAATTGTTTTATTCCAAATTATAAAAAGGTGTTGAAATCCAACATGCAAATTTGTGAGGAATGCGGATCTTATTTTAAAATGACTAGTTCAGATAGAATAGACCTTTTAATTGATGAAGGGACGTGGAATCCTCTAGATCAAGACATGGTTTCTCTTGATTCCAGTGAATTTGATTCTGAAGCGGAATTGGAATGCTACGAGGACAATATTAAGGAATGGAATGAGGAAATGTGTCAGGCTTTCATGCGCAAATTATCCAAGGACTTAAAGGAAGGCCAGGCACTGGAAAGAACTGCCAACTTAATTGAGGAACCTTGGCTCCCAGAATACATTCAACCCGAGGAGAAAGTGGAGGAATGGACGAAACCAGACCTGGATGAGGGCGAGGAATCACAGGATGAAGAGAGATGGATATGGGAACTGGATAAGGGCGAAGAATCGCAAGAAATTGAAGATTCCGAGGCAAACGAAGAAGATGATGATGACGCCCCTTATGTAGAGCGTCTAGCTTTTTATAAAAAAGAAACAGGCTTACTTGATGCTGTTCAAACAGGCGTAGGCCAACTAAATGGTCGTCCCGTCGCACTTGGGGTTATGGATTTTCGGTTTCTGGCAGGTAGTATGGGATGCGTAGTAGGAGAGAAAATAACTCGGTTAATTGAGTACGCTACCAACAACTTATTACCTCTTATTATACTGTCTGCTTCTGGAGGTGCCCGTGTTCACGAAGGAAGTTTAAGTTTGATGCAGATGGCTAAAATATCTGCTGCTTTATATGATTATCAATCAAATAAAAGATTATTTTATATATCAATTCTTACATCACCGACAACGGGTGGAGTGACAGCTAGTTTTGCTATGTTAGGTGATATTATTATTACCGAACCCGGTACTTTTGTTGCATTTGCGGGTCCAAGAGTAGTTCAACAAATATTAAATGAAACTATCCCCGAGGAGGAACAAGAAGCTGAAGCTTTATTTGAAAAAGGTTTTTTTGACTTAATTGTACCCCGCCATCTTTTAAAAAACGTTATTAGTGAGTTATTGAATCTACATGCGCTTTGAATGAAAATAAAGTCCCGGAGTCTTTTTCTAAAAATTTCCCTATATAAAATAAAAGATACCCCGTATTAGGCCAGGGATCATAATTAATTGGAATGGTTTCTTTACATAAATTTATTATTTGAATACTGCTCTAAATACTGCTCTAAAAAAGGTTACCCTAAAATTTTGTGGATCAAAGGGGTATACAGTTTTTGAAAAGTGAAACTTTAATCTGAATTGCATTTTTATTTTAGATCTAACCAAGTTGATGAATTACTCCGAAGCATTTCCAGAAAACTAGTGCTAAGTTTTAGAAACCTAGTACTAGTTAAATGGGGTATTTTCACAATGCGAATAAAATAAACTCAGATCAAGTATGAGTTGGCGATCAGAACAGATATGGATAGAACTTATCCCGGGGTCTAGAAGAGGAAGTAATTTTGTATGGGCTTTTATCCTCTTTTTTGGTTCCTTAGAATTCATATTAGTCGGCACTGCCAGTTATTTTAGTCAAAATTTGATAGCCTTTTTCCCTCAAGGGATGGTCATGATATTCTACGGAATTTCGGGTTTGTTTATTAGTTTATATTTGTCGTCTATGCTGTTCTGGAATGTGGGTGGTGGTTATAATCAATTTGATAAAACGAGGGGAGTCATATGTATTTTTCGTTGGGTCTTTCCTGGAAGAAATCGTCGCCTACTGTTAAGATTCTTTATGAAGGATATAAGGTCAATTCGAATAGAAGTAAAAGAGGGTTTTTATACTCGCCGTCTCCTTTATATGGACATCCGAGGCCAAAAGGCGATTCCTTTGACTCGTACTGATGAAGTCTTGACCCCAGTCGAAATTGAAAAAAAAGCTGCTGAATTAGCTAGTTTTTTGTGCGTACCAATTGAGGTTTTATAGAAAATAAAAAATAAAATACAGACTCTCATATCTTAGTATTGAATATTGTGCTAAGGCTCTCCTAATTTTATAGATATGGGCTTTCATGCCTCTTAGAGTATATAGACTAGAAAAAGATAAGTCCTAGTCTGTATTCTTGGTAGATTCCAAGACTCAAACAAAATAAGGATAAATAAATTAATAGGTTATAGAAAAACCCTTATTTATACCTTTGACCAAATGCATTTAGGGAAGAAGTTTCTATTTTTTTTTTTTTAATTCGGTTGATTCAAAATTTTAAGATCAAAAAATGACAAAAAAGAAAATTTTCACTCCTCTCTTATATCTTTCCTTTCTAGTCTTTTTACCCTGGGGGATTTATGTAGCCTTGAATCACTGTATGGGATCATGGCTTACTCATTGGTGGAATACTAGACAATCCGAATTTTTCGTGAATATGATTCAAGAAAATAGTATTTTAGAAAAATTTCTAGAAGTGGAGGATTTTTTGTTTTTGAACGAAGTAATTCAAAAGGACTTCCCGACAGACCCATCAAAATTTAATAAACAAATCTATGAAGAAGCACTTCAATTAATAAATATCCAAAATGAAAATTCTATCCAGATAATTTTTCACTTATTTACAAATATAATTTGTTTTATTATTCTAAATGGTTTTGCTAATTGGCGTAATGAAAACCCCCTTAGTATTCTGAACTCTTGGTTGCAAAAATTCTTATTTAATTTAAGTGATACAGTAAAAGTATTTTTCCTTCTTCTATTCACGGATTTTTTTTTTGGATATCATTCAACTCGCGGTTGGGAATTCACCATTGGATTTCTCTACGACTCTTTTGGATTTGGTCATAATGATCAAATAATATCCTGTCTTGTTTGCATCATTCCGGTCAGTCTTGATATCGGTTTTAAGTATTTTCTTTTCCTCTATTTAAACCGCGTCTCTCCGTCACTTCTAATTATTTATAATTCAATAGGTGAAGTTATATGAAGCTTAGATTCTTCATTTTTTCTATTTTAATCCTGCTTGGTTATTTTATAAAATTTAGAAAATCTAGATGAATTTTTTATTTGAGCAACTGGCCGAATCGTGGTTATAGTAGACTAGATGAGCGACCGAACTCGTTTGATTTTATTGATTTTGGAATCCACAATTGGCCGATGCACACTAAAAATCTTTTTTATTCGAGAACTCAACAGATTACTCAATATCTTTCGGCATTGCTTATGATGGTTATCCTAACTCGGACATCTATTTCAAGTGCCTATCCCCTTTTTGCACAACAGGGTTATGAAAATCCAAGAGAAGCAACTGGTCGTATTGTCTGTGCTAATTGCCATTTGGCGAATAAGCCTGTGAATATTGAGGTACCCCAAGCGATACTTCCTGATACTGTATTTGAGGCCGTTGTGCAAATCCCATATGATCTCCAACTTAAACAAGTTCTTTCTAATGGAAAAAAGGGTGGTTTGAATGTGGGGGCGGTTCTTATTTTACCGGAGGGTTTTGAATTAGCTCCGCCTGATCGCATTTCCCCTGAGCTCAAAGAAAAAATAGGAAATTTATATTTTCAGAGTTATCGCCCAAATATAAAAAATATTTTTGTGGTGGGACCTGTGCCTGGGCAGAAATATACAAAAATAACATTTCCCATCCTTTCTCCAAACCCTGCTAATAATAGGCGGGCCCACTTTTTAAAATATCCTATATATGTAGGTGGAAACAGGGGACGAGGTCAGATCTATCCTGATGGTAGCAAAAGTAACAATACAGTGTTTAACGCCACAGCATCCGGTAGGGTTAAAAAAATAATACGAAATCAAAAAGGTGGTTATGAAATAATCATTAATGATGGATCGGATAGTAATGAGGTAGTAAATCTTCTTCCTCCTGGCCTAGAACCGCTTGTTTCAGAGGGAGAATCTATCAAATTGGATCAACCATTAACGAGTAATCCTAATGTGTGCGGATTTGGGCAAGATGTTGCGGAAGTAGTACTACAAGATCCATCACGTGTCCAAGTACTTTTATTTTTTTTTGCATCAATTATTTTGGCACAAATATTTTTGGTTCTCAAAAAGAAACAGTTTGAGAAGGTCCAATTGACCAAAATAAATTTATAAACTTATGAGGTTCGAAATATTATACACGCCAAAAAATCTTAAAAATCTTTGGTTTCCTTTTATTTTATTAGCATTATTCCAAAGTTTCTACTAGGTGCCCGGTTCAACTCAAGCCCGAACCAAACATTTTTTTGATTTAGCAAAGATACGAACGCTATGGAAGGGATCAATAAGCTCGATTCCTTTTTTTACTGTTGGACACAAACAATGAGAGGGACAGGTTTGTGTGTGTCAATCTTTCAAATATCATTTTTTCTCTTTTCATTTTTCATATGTTTGATAATGTGAGAATACTTGATTAATAATAAATTTTAATATTTTTTAATTTAGAGGGACGAATTTAAGAACTCACCATGATTTGGATTTGACGGTAAATTAAATCAAGGTGAGTTCTTAAATTTTGATGTCTATACCCCCACTTAGCTTATTTGTAAATAATATCGACTATAGAGACGAGCCTAATCCCGAATAAGAACCATGAAAAAAAATACCTATTAAACTAATGACAAGAATACCTGCTAGAGTACCTATCATCCAAAGAGGAATCCTTCCAGTAGTATCAGTCATGGATCCTGCTCTCCCCCACACTTTATCAAACGGGCATGCTGTAGCCATAAACAGTCATCGATAATTATTATATAGGAAACCTTCCGAATGTGCTAATGGAATGCCTATTATCTCATTATTCTTAATTGAAAAAATAATTTGAGAATAAAACAGCAAGTACAAAAATCAGTAGTAACCCCCAGTATAGACTGGTACGATTTAATTCCACGGTTTGTTCATTTGGGTTTGATTGTTGTGTCGTAGCTATATAATTTGGATTCAATTTATTTAAACTTCTATCGTTGGATGAACTGCATTGCTGATATTGATCCCAAAAAAAAGACGGTAGGTATAGCTAGGCCGTGAACAGCCAGCCATCGTACTGTAAAAATTGGATAGGTTCGATCTATAGTCATTGGGACCTCCTACTAAATTCATTCTGTTCTTCTAAAGGTTCAAAACGTCCAGTTATTAATGGAATTCCTTGTTGGTTCTCAGTAAAATATTCATTTGGTCTAGGGCTCCCAAACACATCGTACGCTAAACCGGTGCTAACAAATAACCAACCCGCAATGAATAATGACGGTATTGTAATACTATGAATGACCCAATATCGAATACTGGTAATTATATCAGCAAATGAGCGCTCTCCTGTGTTTCCAGACATTTTGGACTCCGTATATTCGTGTTAATTAAAAAATACCATCTTTGTGAGATCATCACCTAATAAGTCTAATTCTCCTTTTTTAACGTAGTAATGTTTATATTCAAATGCCAAATCTTTTAAATTTGAGTATAAAATGAAAACTCTATTCATAATTCAATTTCAATTCCTTTTGGGTGAATGGTTCGCGAGACAGATGTTTAATGAAATTGAGGTATTTTTTTTTTTTGAAATAGTTTTTAAAAAATATGCGAATAACCTATTTAAATCAGCCTTAAATTATGCCTACTATAANAATATTATTTTGGTTCCACATATATCATTTTGTGTATAGAAAATATCTATAATATTTTCTAAATATTATTGGAAATATTTTCTATAGAAATATACAAGATTATTATTATCCCAAATTTTAATCTTTATATTTTATACTACTATAATCTTTACTAGCATAAAGATTGTGGTAGACTCCGGCGTTGTTCGTGTGTCAAAGTTGGAGACCGGACGCTTGAACGGTTACGTTTGCACTTTCAACGCTCTTCCTACGACTTCTTCGTTTTTACCGCTTACGGAGAGAGGTATAAATTTCTTACTCACTATAAGTTTTAGTACGTGATTCTGGGCAAGATAATCATGTTAGGATGTTAAAATTTTTATATTCCGCTGCCTATTCTTGCATGGTTACCTTTCAGAAAGCATAGGTATAATACATCCATATATATAAGATGCAAATTTTTAGTGTTGATCTTTTGCGTGTGGGGGCTAATGAGATGTCCACATGGTGGTGATAGGTTGAGAGCTTGAAAAACGCATTGGCAAACAGCGAAGCTTCATCACAAATCATAAAACCTAAGGAAGAAGGCATGATGACGCCTAGTGAGAAACCAAAGGCGATTCCACAAACCTCATGCCTCAACCTGAGGAAGAAGGCTAAGTCTTGAAGGTAAGGAGGATCATCGTTTTCGTCGTCCTAAAACTCTTTTTTAAATTAATAAAATAGCAAAGGCATCGGTTGTTTAGAAACAACCGATGCTAATACTCTTTTTTTAACTTAATAAAATAGCAAAGGCACCGGTTGTTTAGAAACAACCGATGCTAATACTCCTTTTTTAAATTAATAAAATAGCAAAGGCACCGGTTGTTTAGAAACAACCGATGCTAATACTCTTTTTTTAAACACCATCCGTTTTAGTTATATATTGTGAGGACGACTGTGATTTGCATGCAGTTCATACCGAGCCAACGAGAGGACAACGGACATGAGAAGCTGGAGTGCATTGATGATGATTACCATCATAAGGAACATGAGAAGCTGGAGTGCATTGATGATGATTACCATCATGAATATCTGGAGTGGATTAAAATCTATGGATTTGCACGCACCAAAAATCAGATCGAGTTTTGCAAGTATTTACTGAAACTTGCCCCCCTCATGAAGCAATTAATAGCACCACATTGTCGAGTAGAGTGCAAACATCAAGTGAATGAAGAAGAGCGTGAAACTGTAATAAATGCACTGAAACCATTTTTAAAGGATGTGAAACTACTTGTCTTTTAATTTGAGGAAATAAACAACTCGTAGGTCTTCCTTTCTTAAGCGAGATGGTTCTGGTCTGGGATGGAGGAACTCTTTTGTGTGGAAACGGAACACACTTCTATATTATTTACATTCAACCATGTTCTCTACTCACTAGGTACTAAATTTGTGACAGTTCTATAAAGAAATTTCCTTTACCATTTCAAGAAAATTTCACTTACCGGTTCAAGAACTCTATCCTCAAAGAAATTATAGCTTTTCATATGTTGCCCTACCCTACTATACTCTTACTCTTGAGAAGTGAATTTGAGTTAAAAATCAAGAATTTGGTTGAGATTTCAACATCACAAACTTCATCATTAACCACACCAAAGATCCTCTCCATTTTTTTATTTTAACGATTTCTTATGTATAGGTTTTTGAGTGAAATGAATGGAGATGAAAGATAGGTCTGAGCAGGAGGAGAAATAAATTCCCAAAACAACTTTGCCTAAGCCTTATGTATTTATTTGGAAAAGTAAAATTCTCTAATTTAGTTTTTGATTTCTTTATATCGTTTTTACCTTTTGCTAACACTGAAAGTTTAGAAAAAACGAAAGCCCGTATTCGAGAAGCTAGATTGAAAGCTGAAGAAGTACGATTAAAAATTAAAGAAACTCGATTGAAAAAGGCTAAAGACGCTCGATTGAAAGCTAAAGAAGCAAGAAATCAAAAGAAAGAGACATTCAGAAAGATCTTCATAAATCCATTTTTTTAATCTCTTTACTGCTACATCTTTTATTTTACTAGTATTTTGACCAATGAGTTCGAAAGAAATTTCTGTCCATTCAAAAAATGTTTTTCAATGTAATATTTCTAGTTCAAAGAAAATTTATTTCTAACACGAATTTTTTAACCCGAGATCATCGGGTGTGCGATGACGCCCCACATGGCCTAATTCCTAACCAAATTATATTGGTGATCTAATCAATCGATTCAATTTAAGTTCCACCTGATTATACTAGATGACCTATTTCAGATATTAATCATAATTCGTAATTATCACCAATAAGATTAATTTAATTCAAGTCAGAATTTAATAATTATCAAGCATATCAAACAGTGGCATATTGGGGACCAGAAGCCCACCAATTACCATCATGCATAGCCAATCAATCCCAATTTACAACTAACCCAAAATAGGAAAACATCATTATTTTAAACTATATTAAAAAATTATACTCCCTCCGTCCTATGATACATGGGACATTTCTTTTTTAGGAGGGATTTAAGAGAGTGTATTTTGGTATTGAATTTCCAAAAATGTTCTTTGATGTGATGTGTAAAAGTATGATTTGATGGATAGATTATTAGTAAAAAGGTATGATGTGATAGTTAGGGTATAGAAAAGTAAGGGGTAAAAGTGACTTTTTAATAGAAATGAGAAGCGTTTTGTGGGACGGATAAAAAAAGAAACGGGAAATGTTTCATGGGACGGAGGGAGTAGATATTATAGTTACATAGAATGTTTTACCTGGAGTATTAATCTAACTTTATGTAAGACCCCTCACCTTTCCCTTTATTACTCAATTTTTTCATTTTTATTTATTTCAAGATTTAATTTTTTTTCATTTTTCTAATTCATATAAAAAATTGATAGTCAAAATAGTTTAGAAAAAGACTAAAATAGGATAAAACAAAAAAAGTTCTATGTCTTTATTCCAAAAATAGGAGTCATGTGACATGTCTGATATTTAAAACAAATCTTGTAGTATATAAAGTATAATTAAAAATATTTTATTTTATAATAAATACTGCATAATTAAATTGAGGTGCAACAAAACCACAATAAATTTATAAAATTTATCATTTTGATATTTATGCTAACTTTATATTCTAATTTTTCTTTGCAAAAGTAGTTTTTTTGTGAATGAAAAATAACAAAACTTTTTTTTATCTTAAAGGCATCCATTAAGATAACGTGATGATGATGATGATGATGATAATAATAATTTAAAACAACAAGAATTATAGTGAGAATAATAAAAAAAGTACACGAAAATAAACGTTTTAAAAGTTTTTTAGGTTTTCCAATTTTTTTTGAAGTTTTTCTGGTTTTTCTAAATACTTCTGAATTCTTCAAGTTTCTTCAAGTCCTTCAAGTTTTTTCTAGTTTCTTCAATTACCAATATTTTACATTTCAATTTTGGATGTTTAATTAAGGACAAAATTGGGAATGCATCTCAAAAACCTATAGCACTCCTATTTTGAGTACTAGTATTTCTACCCGTGCAATGCACGGGGTCGACGAAATTTTTGTCTATTCTGATTTTTTTTAATGCAATATATTTTCCGGATCAAATAAATATATTTCTAACACGATTTTTTATCATTGGACAAAAACACCAAGGTAGAATAAATAATATTTGAGGAATTGAAAATATACTCAAAAATGTCTTTTTTAATTCCAAACATGTTGGCATGAAGAATAAGAAATTAAGTACTACTTTTCACCTCATGGAATAAAGGATAAGACAAATTCATTTACCATTCAACAACTTCGAGCACGGGTGTCAATAGTGCACTATCTTTAAAAAAAGAATATAATAGTTTTTTATGTTCTCGAATAAGTTTGGATAAGTGAAGTTCACTATATTCTTGAGGAATAACTTGTGTTAAGAATCAAGATCTTTAACTATTAGAGCACCAACTTCATGTATTGTGGA